CCCTTAGGAGGTCCCCTGTTTCTCCACTATGTAGGTTTCCCCTTCTTCGGCCTTCGTCCTTATCGTGAAATCCTACTTAACTACGCCCAAAGAGTGCCACTACCGGTAAGAATGGGGAATCTATGGCGCATAAGCCGGCCTGTGTCTAAACGCGAGCTTTTAACGTAAGTTAGGGTAGTTTGGTGGGAAGATGAGTCTACCAGAATTGCATTCAGAGAATTGAAACAAGTTCAATAAGCTTTTGAACCTGCAGTTCACCACGATAGATAACAAACACTTTTCGGCGGGGGCGGTAAGTACAAGCGATAAAACAAACATTTGTTAGCCTCATGAAAATGTATCAGAGATTTCGGAGAAGAAATGCTTAGATTGCGTGAGTACGAGTTTTTCTGATGACAACTGAAATCACCTTATTGGTCTTATACAAAGTAATCAACTATGGAAATCACAAATGTCTACGTATGCACAGGTAGAACCCCCTATTTCCCCACTGTAAACGAAACATGTCCACAACTTGCCGAACTCCCCACTTGTCTCCAGGCCACACCTCCTCGTCTCTAGGGAACGTTCTCCTATGGCAAGTCAAAAAAGGCGTTCTCTAATCTATCAACTGGAGCTCACGTGAATTCCAACAACTTGCTAAACCACCGGAAACGTTTGACGTTCGATTCTCGCAGGGCAAAGCAAAAGCGCCGGAAGGGCGTCGGAAAAGTGGCGATGGAAAAGTAGGAACGGCACGGCAAACGCACTGGTGGCATAGCATAAGAGAGCGGTACAGAGGTACACGATGGCTGAGGCGGGACTAGACGGTAGGCATGTGATCAAGAGGGGACGAAAAAACAAATCGTCGACCGGCAGTCAGCCGTTACGAGAGCGAGGGACATCTTTTACTGACAGGTGATCAGTGATTCATCATGATGAAGAAATCAGCGCCCACATAGTTTAGCAGCAGCTGTCTGCCGGAAATGTCTTCAGGGGAGAATTTATGGAGGCCAGCTTACTTAAGTCACATCTCAAAAAGTATACATTAAGCAATTCAATATTCGGCAAGCCAATTCATCAGGAGGCTCGCACTGCCCCAGGCGGATCTGCCACCAAATTCATGAGATAGAGAAAAGCTTTGAAAAGATTTGATCAAAAGAATATCTTAATAGGGCAATGCCCCTTATTTAATTACTTTAAAGCCTCTTATCATATTGCTTACCGCGTCCGCCACCATGTGGCTTAGGATTTCACACGAAAGAGCATAGCCTTATCTGACCTTCTGGCTTTTTTTAAAGTTCCTAAACTGTTTGTATTCGTTTTCAGAGCCGAACAATACGTGTA